ATAGAGCCATTGTTAGGCAGGTCGCTATCAAACGATGCAGGATTACATGAGGTTGATATGAGCACTCGGCGACTAAATGTGGTTCAAGTCGCACAATGCCTCAAAGAGTAATGGCATTTCATATCAAGTACATCAACCTTACCAGAATCTTTAACAAAAACACAGAAAACTGTATAATTTTCAACCTGCAGGACCCGCGGTTGTGGGTCAAACAGCGCAATCACTACTGGGGAGTCAAGGGAGCACCGTGTTAAATTTAGTGTAATATGAACACGCAACACGTTCAATGGTAACAAACGAAAACCCTGCTAACAGCAAGACCAGGAGCCAAGAAATCAGCCCTCTCCAAACGGTCACATGCTCCGATGGCCAACGCCCCAAACAGGCACTGCACTGGTCCTAAATAACAAACACACCTACACTTTAGTGTCACTATATTGGATATGAGTTACAGTGTCGAGTAAATATAACCAATCCCTAAAACCTATAGGTGTGCAGAAATTGGAATTGTCATCCGACTTACAGAATGTTAAAACTGAGAATTGGTCAATGCAGTAACTGAACATCAGAGGGCAAATAAAAGATGGAAGTTTATAATAATTTAATGAAACTGTACAACAGCAGAAAGTTCTTCTAAACCTTCTCTCTCTCTCTCTGCCTCCACCCTTCTTCCCTTGTTCCTCTGACTTTCTGTCTCTTTCCCCTCAGAGCCAGAGATTAGTGTGTAATTACATGAGAGATCAGCAAAAAAAAAAAAAAAACGGGGTGAAAAAGGGGAGTAGTATATTTTAACAAGGCGGTGGAGGAGGAGTGGCGACGGGGGAGGAGGTGGCGCAGCCCTCGTCACGGGCCGACTGATTGTCTGCCTTTAATCCTCAACCTCATTATCACCTCCAGGTCCGGCAGTGGCAGTAAATGAATCTATCTGCCGAGTGTCAAATCTTCACACCTTCGCCCTGGTAATCACCCCAAGGTGCAAATACAGAAGATGGATAGAACGAGAGAGATGAAGAGGGGGTGGGGTGTATGACCCCTGCATTTCATCAACAAAATCTCCTCATTTCATAATTAACAAAAGCTACATGATGTTGTTTGGCTGGTGATTAAAGCTCATTAAATATTCAGTTTTTTTAGGGACAAACTGGTGACAAAATGTATAGATTTGGTACATATGGGAAGTGAAGAGCCGTTACTGCTGTCTGATATTAAAAAAACAATAATTCAAAATGTGACATTTTGCTTTTTCCATGTTCTGAAACTTTACATGTTTATAAAGCTATTTATTTAGACTTTGAACTCTGTTCAGGAGCAAACACAAGGCTTCAAAAAGCTACAGGACAGCACTCAAAATAAACATTTTGAATCCATGAAAAATATGCTCAGATGCTGTTTATTCAATACATTATTGTATTTTTCTGTCGACAGTGCTTTGGTGGTTTTTTTAAAAGCATTTTAAGAAAGAGATCTTCTATTTTCTAGTATTCTCTACATATGGACAGGGGACATTAGAATAATTATATGTTGCAGAGATTGTCAGGCGGCTCTCTAAAGGGCTGGAAAGAGTGTGAAATACTTTGATTAAATACTTAAAATCGAAACTTAGATTATTCCTCCTGAAATTAATTAAATGTAAGAATCACAAAATAAAATACATAATTATTTCAATGAAAAAATATAAAATAAAAATAAAACCAGTTTGTGCTTGTGAAAAAAATTGCTCTTTCCCTTCCCACCGTTACCTTCGAAAGAAAATCCCCTGTAACCAGTTTGTCTTTAAAACATTGAAAAATTAGATATTTTAATTTTACGTTACATAATGTATGATAACATGAACCTGGTATTGAAGCAATCAGTTAAGTTCCCCATGTGTAAAAGGAGCAGGGGAGGTTGAGTAACGGTTAAAAAGCTGTGAAGTATAACTTGGTCTGATGTGAAGACTCTGCAACTGTTCTGTGTTTTCTTTGTGAAACGATGATCAAAATACAAGATAATCCCGCAATTTCATAACTAAATATATTTAAATTTTCACTTGGATCTAATTGAAAACTGGTTTTTCATCATTTTGCGCTATGTTGTTGATTTAATTTCCATGTGCTGCAAGTCTGTCTGACGTTGTGGATTTGCTAAGTGGTATTATTATTATTATTATTATCCGCATCACTGTTGTTTTAATTATTATTTTAAGTCTCTATGTACAGGCCTTTTATGGAAAAGACTGAATATTAGTGTTACTTATTTGTGGACAGAAAGCTTCCAGTAGGTCTATGTACAGTAGAAGTGAGTTTCATTGTGCTTAAAGGTTGACAAAAACTCATCAAAATCATTATTCCTTTCATTCATTGTTGGCAAAAACACACTTATTGCAGATACAAGTGAAGTAAAAGCTTCCCCCCAGAGACACGCTCCCTCTATTGTCACTGAAGTTGCTGAGATTGAGCTTGGAGCTGCAGCACAATGACTCCGTGATGAGTCGCAGTACGCTTCCAATGGACACGAGCCCTTTGGACAAATCCAACAAAATCTATGCTACCTTGAAAAACTATAATCATGCATTATTGAATTGGCAAAGGATAGTGTGTAATAGAGAGATCCTAAACCCATTCCCCCTCCTGAATTATTAATTGAATTCAAATAACAGACGGAATCATTTTCTTAAAATATCTAAATCATTTTTCACAAAAAGGCTTAAAACAGAGTGTGAAACAACAGGGATGCAGTGGCTGTGTGTGGATCTGGACAGCGGCTGACTGAGAGTGGGACAGACGATACTGAAGCAGGAAAAATGGTTACTGACAATAACATGGCGATGACTACCCAGCACCCCCTTTGTTTAATCAGAAAATCTAGAGTCGGTATCTTTACAGTAGGCCCCTCCCTCGAAACCATCGGTAACCATTATACGACTGAAACCCCATCCACTTCCCTCTTGGACCATTTCGCCGGCATATCCGCATGATCGAGCAACAAGCAGCAGAGGGATGGTTGGCTAAATGTTGTACTAAGACCAGGCTAAAATATGATAATGAGTACAAATGGGATTATTAGGAGGCTGTGTGTCATCAGTCTGACTGATCCATGATGTCAAACTAGCCAAGCAAATTCAATTAGGCCTGCAATTACTCCCTGGCGCTAGTGGAGACGTATGGGAGACGTTAAATATTGATGGAAACATAGATGCCACATTTGTTCATCTCCAAAGGTGAACGCATCTCCTCGAGGTAATCACAAATGCTAAATATGAAGCCGGTCCATTCGTCACGCTGAGCTGCGGAGAGGATTGATGAAGTGGGGCAGCAGACGGTTGGTTTGTTTGGACTGAGAGAGCATCTTCTTTTACCTTTTTTAAAAATGGAGACTTGTGTCCATCACGGGCTTTAGTTTAAAAATAAAAAGGAAACATTAATGTCAATAAGCCTCAGGACATTTACCTCCACGCAAAGAGAAGTGGTGTTTGTATGGACTAAAACCAGCATCAGACATAAAGGAAGATGATTTTAGATTCTGAAGAGGCGTCCTCTGGTCTCCTGAAAATGTTTTAAATGTCTCAACAAAAATGAGAAATGACTGGAATGTTCCCCTTCAACTTAAAAGCTGCATGTTTTATCACAAGCGCTGAAAATACTTTTGCCCTTGGGGAACTCTATTTGTTAGTTTTAAAATTCCTTACAAGCATAATTGTTACCAATAAAATATCTCGTGAAGACTCCCAAAATCTGTATTCTATGTTTTATGATGTACATTTTTTTTCAAAATCTTTTTTACGAGTACAGATCACAGACCGTATATAAGAAGTGGACGTAGTCATCGAGACGTCACTCCATATTCGGACGGTGGAGGAGTGACATAGAGACGCCGTATACGGCTCTGGTAGAATAGCGACCTGTATATCATAAGGTAGCCCCGCCCTAAAGCATACCCTGCTTTATGGTCCATTTTATTCTTAATGTGACAATAAGTTACTAAATGAACATCATGCTGTATTGAAGAAGACATGAAACTAGAGATTGAGACCATAAACTCATGTTTACAATGTTTACTGAGGTAATAAATCAAGAGAGAAGTAGAGTCATTTTCTCATAGACTTCTATACAATCAGAGGAGTCGCCCCCTGCTGGACATTAGAGAGAATGCAGGTTTAAGGCACTTTTGCATTGGCTTCACTTTTTTCAGACCCAGAGGTTGCTGCCTGGTACAGATAGGACATCATTTGTCATCACTGGAACAGCCAATTAAAACCAACTTACAGTTTCACAGGTTGGTTAATATTGTAGGTCGAGAGTTTGTCCAATTTCTGTAATTGCGCTCTTATTTTGATGAACCATTTCCGAGTCAGCAGGGATGCTTTAACCTCGAGTTTGAGTTTGAGTTTTGAGTTTCAGAGACTTTGTTGTTGCCTTTTAAAGAATAAAAATAACAAATGAATAAGTAGGCCTATGCTGCAACAGCATTTTAATGTTAAATACTTAAATTCTACTTTAAATTCACAGGAAAAAATACAAAATCATTTGCATGTCTGGAGTGGTTTCTGAATCTCAGGTTTCTTTTCAGTCATTCATTCGTGTTTTTGCCCTGCTTGAGTATTTCTTTCTTAATACTCTCTATTTCTCACTAACTGAAGGCCCTTTGAACACAAAGTGTCATTGGCACCACTGCACTCTAAAACCCAGCACTTCCAATGGCTTGTGCCGCACAACGACCGCCGTCTGATGTTGTCCGGATGGAAGCAGTACTCTAAGAATTATATGGCTTATACACGCTGTACAATGCGAGAGACATGTTTAGATAAAGAAATGGGGGAAAAAGGTGTTCAAATTTGTCATAAACCGGCAGAAAGACAGAAGACTAGTGACCCCCGGAGGAAACCGGAGTGAGCAATGAAAAACGTGAGTTTCCTGGGAAAATCCGGAGGGTAAGTGTGACTTCTTTTGCACCGATCATTGGAAACCTCTGGGCTACACACATTACCTTTTCTATACTGACAAAAAAAAAAGCAAACGTACCTGCTGTTGAACTTCTCAGGATGCTTCTCCCTCATAACATGGAAACGATGTGCAATGGAGGCGTCCTGAAACACAGAAACACATCGCTTCAGTCCAGGTGCTGCGAACCGCGTTTGTTGCAAGTGATTCTCACCTCCTCAAACTTTAAACATGCAGGTTGGGCCTCCTTGCCGTAATTACTCAAATTACTAACATGTAAAGCTACTCAACAGAAGCATCACTATTTTGCCTTTACATTCAAAGCAACGTCTTCCTCATTAACTAACTGTCCCAACCTCTCAGACAGTGCAGCTACACCTTGCGTGTCCCTTGTGTATATTTCTATAAGATGAAAGAAGATGTGTGCAGGAGGTGGCAGCGGGGTTGAACCTGGGATGGAGAGGTATTGACAGAAAGCCTGATGAACAGCACGCCGTCGCCACACAGGCTAATTAATTAAACACACATTGTGAGTAATCACAGCTCCCAGCCAACCTACAGGGCGCTGCCGACACCACGGCAACCAAGTTGTTTTCTCTCCCCCTTCCTCCGCCTCTCCCCTTCTCTCTCTCTCTCATATGTATATATGTCACTCTCGACCTTCCTCTCACCCTCCTTTCTGACTCCCCCGTCTCACCCTCGCTGTGCCCTGTGGCATAAAGGGCAGCCTCATTGCAGCAGTTCTTGGTGTTACAGTGATACAGTTCATGTTACATATGTTAGTGTGGTGTGACTGACGGAGACACTCCACCACGAACACCATCTCCATCTGGCGAGGCTGTTATCTGCTATTTAAGCCAGAAAAGACTGTTTTTTGTATTGTTGAAAAGTCTCAAGCCTAACCACACCCAACAGTGATGTCACGCTGTCCTGGAGTACACCTGCACATCACAGCAGTAGGGTCACAAGTTCAACCACTGGAGCTCAGCAAGGACGAGATTCCGTGGAGGCGTTAAGTTACTCTTTAAGACAAGTTAGCAGGAGTATAGATTATACCAAACAACCCAGTTTCAACGTTCACATGGGCACCTGAGTGTACAATTGCCAACCTATCCTTTAGTAATCTTTCATGGGTTGTGAAAAAAAAAAAAATCACCTAATTTCAGAAGCTAAGTAATCAATTAAAGGTCCAATGTGAAGGATTTAGTGGCATCTAGTGGTGAGGTTGCAGATTGCAATCAAGTAAATTCCCCTCCGCTTCTTCCTCCCTGTCCAAGCATGTAGAACTACGAGGCCTTCAGGCTTCAGGTGACGTAAAACCGTGAGGTTCTCTCTCTAGAGCTAGTGTTTGGTTTACATGGCGGTGCAACATGGCCGACACCGTGAAGATGACCCGCTCCTTATGTGGATATGAAGGGCTCATTCTAAGCTAACGGAAACACAACAATTCTTAGTTTCAAGGCATTACATGCTAATGAAAACATGGTTATGAACACCAGGAGTTAATGCAAGCCTGTCTCCTGCAAATTTATGTTCAGCTAAACTGCACTTTCAATCACGGTTCGAGGGAAATATTTTTTCTTCCTGTAGCAGTGTCAAGCAACTTGAAACACGTGGTGAACGACGTAAATTGAAATAAAACGGAACAAAAAATGCTCCAAAACTACTGAGTATAAAACATCATGGTTTGGTTTAAAATCACTACGACAGTGGAACAAAATGAAACACAACAAAAGTACTTGGTTCCCACGTACTTGGTTCCCTCCAGTCTCCTGGAGGGAAATCCTTAGTTTTCTGACCCATCCCTTGACCCTGACCTCCTCCTCCTCCTCCTCCTCCTCCTCCTCCCAAACTTATTCATGATTTGTCAAAAGAAAACGGAATCCACGACAAAATATGTTTCTCTCTAAACATAATTCACAATGCAGTCTTGTTGTATGGGAACGTCAGGAGACAGAGCTGGTTCATTTTGAGACGTGTTAGTTGAGCACCATAATTATCAAGTGTCAATAATATATTATTTGAGATTTTAAGGAAGTTTAACTAAATAAATAATGTTGCTTTAATGAAATGTACTTCTTTTTAACAGAGTGAAAGGGGAAAGATACGAGATTAGGAGCATTTGGAGCCTCTCAATGGCTCTCAGCGAGGCAACGGCGAATCGGCGGCTCGCAGCTAGCGGTGCTAACAACTGCAACAGTGCTGACAGAGCTATGAGCGTATGAGAGCAGTGCAAAGCGGCCGCCATGAGCTAACTAGTGGGGCACGGTGCACGAACACGTACTAAAAGCACACGCAGCCGGTCCGGCTGGTCAACAAAGAACGGAGACACAAACAACACACACAGAGGGAGAGATATTACTCCACTTTACCTTTACATAGAATAGTGGTTTGCTGCTATATTGATGCTCTGAATGTTAAATACAGCTCCTTTTAATTCATATCTTTAAATGAAACACCTTGTTCTTCATATCAGTTATGTTAATAAGTATGCAGAGGACCTCGCCAACAGATTGTAAAGTCTGAGGTAATGAACTACAGAGAGACGCTGAAATTTCCTTTAATTTGCACTTCTAAGTCAGTTTCAGCAGGAAAACGCTGGCAAGGCCTTCGTGGAGAAAAGATATAACTCTGACAAACTTCTCAGGAAGGAGTGAGAGAAAGTTGCTGTAAACTTTTTGGGCTTGTTCCTATCCTCTTCCTCTTCCTCCTCCACCTCCTCCCCTCTACTGAAGCAATCTGTTTTGACCCGCTCCATTTTGAGTGGCACCACACTACAGGGAGGACCCCCTGCTAGCTCTCTGTACAGAAATTTAGGAGAAGCCAAAAGAGGAAAAAAAATAAAATCAATGGAGCTTCTCTTGATGTCTCTTCAAGACGCTGTAAGCTGAAGACCAAAAGAATTCTCCAAGATCCCCGCAGACTCACCTCACGCTTCCAACGCGAGCCAGAAATGCGAGATGATGGATGTATCTGAGAGACGGTAACTTGATTTTCTTACAAACAGGACAATAGCTGCAAACAAGAGAGCAAAAGCGAGGAGAGGTTGTCTCCCCTTTGGTTTGGGCTCTATTATCTGAGATCTGTACAAGTGGAGCCGCGGCGTTTGCAACAGTAAACAGCGATTTCAAGCAGCCGGCAGTGGATGAAGGCCTTTGTCGTTCTCTGTCGATGCAGCGTTTGTGTGCTTGAAGTGGTGAAACTTCTAAAATGAACCGGCTCAACGTCACATGATGCTCAAATCAACATCACAAAGAATAAATATATATATATCGGAATATTTTTTTTCAATATGGATATATATCAGAACATGGCAGATATGCAAAATGACTTATACAATTATATTAACTAAAGATAATAAAAACAAAACTTAACTTATTTAATTAATTTATGGAAATAGAAGCACCAGGAAAAAAGCCAAAAATAAATACATTTTGTTATAAATAAATATGGAATTTTATAACAATAATAGTTTTTTTCCTTTCACCCATTTTCTTTATTTTGAGACTTTCACCACTTTTGGTGGAATTGTTTGACGACAAACAACCAATCTTGCTTTTTTCTCTCCGTTTTAACTTCTCACCCTGCTGCAGAGATGTAGAAGTGCACTCCAGGTGTACACCGTGACATCATAAGGTACATGTTCTCCTCACTAAATGTTTACCGACCTTTGTCTAAATCAGGCCAGTTTGTAGAATCTGAACTGGAAAAAAAACTCCACTGAGGAAATTTTGCCGCTTTTGGCTTCATTAGTTAGTAATCTGGTCCTTGTAGCCATTCTGGAGCTTTTGATCAAATCACACATGTTCAGATTATCACTTTTTCTGAGCGCTGTCACCACTTTCTCGACTTTTCATGTCGGCATAAAAGATCAAGTTCAAGAATTCCCTCTTAAGAATCTGCTGGTGAAGATCATGTGATATAACAGAGCTCCAGAACAGCAAGGTTGAGAATGAACTTTGAATCTTTTAAGTCAACATGGACGAAAATGCCTTTAAGATATATATATATATACACACACACACAATATATCTATTGTTGGGGTTCAAAGTATCCTTGAGGCGTGTTAATGCATTTCATTCCTCGTTAAAACATTTAAAAAGCTATTTATTATTTAATATTTTGAATTGTTTACTTCCATTTTTAAATACATATAATCACTTTTCAGAGACATGAGCAAAATTACAATTTATTCATATTAAAGACATTAAAAACTTCAAAAAACATCTGCCGCCTCTTTGAAAACGGGGACGAGTCGGTCGCAGCATCAACACATGTCGGACACTCTCCCGTCCTCCTGACCCCCTCGCGGCAGCGAGACGTCGTCTGCTCACTCTCTCTCTCCCACTAGCTGCCCTCAAATAATTACCAATGTAAAAATCTGGCACCCAAATTAATACAGGACATGTGTAATGTCCTCTCATAGCTCAAAGTTTAGTCCAATTATGAGTGGGCCCCAGCGGTTTGATGTGCCTTTCACTACGGGCGAGAGTAATGGCTTTGACAGGAGCGCCAGGGTCGTTAGGGCGACTGACTGCATTATGGTAGTGGAGCGCGCTCGGTGATTAGTTCTGTCTCTCACCCCTGGCCCTGATTGAGATCATTACACTTCAAGTCACTTCCACATCCTCCCAAAGGGATGGCGACCATTAATTCTCAAACCAACTGGGCTGTGGCAGAAGGTTAGGTTGGAAGAATTTACCCCTCCCAAAAAAAGGGATGGTTTGGAAGAATCACCTGAGTTCTTGGATTGAAATGACTTGAAATGAAATGAGTTTCCGTTTGCTCGTGATTAGAGAGGAATGAGAGCAATCAGACAAATAGAAATGTAGAAGTTCTCTTTCAATGACTTCAGATTCAAGCGCACGTCGGCGGCGACACTCTTGCTGATCTCTTGGATTCGACGGCGTCATTACAGAAACAATCTACTCTCCATCTGCATAATCTCTGAGGTAATTACTAGCTTGACTTGTCGCGTAATCTTTATTGTAATTTTTTTTTTCACATTTTCGTTCCAACGGAAAGCTAAAAAAAAAAAAACATTTGATGGAAAAAAATGTGTCATGAAAATATTATATCACACTCAAATCCCATAGAGAGCTCAAAGTCTCCTTAATCCCCCACGAACAACTTCATTTGTCATCATCACGCCTGCTGGGTGCTAATCCCGCTAACAGAGCAGAGACAATAGGGCTTATAATGACTTCATGAACCAGCCGGGCCAAAGCTGCTTTCTACGGTTCAGCAAGAAGGAATCAACCGCTTCCATTAAAGCAGGAAAACTTACTGCTGTCTCCAGGGTGTTGGAGCTTTAGTTAACTGCATGCATTTTAAAAAGTGGCATTAAAAGCCACAACATTTGGGGGGAACGTTTGCCTCCTAGGACAATAGTTAAGTAACATCAACGCATCCTTACTTTTCCAAAAGACTCCACTGGAAGTGTTTTCTATCAATTTTTACCAGCGTGTTACTCCTCTTCTTCCTCAAACTATACGACTTTCATATCCCTCTATATCTTCATTTACAAGCTTGACTGATGGGTTTCTGCTTGTCTCCAGGTCCAGATACATTTTTGAGGTCAGCTACGTGTTCGAGCTCCAAAGCGTCGTCATGACCCGGTACACATGACCACTAATCCCCTGACACATGAAGAGGTTTGTCTGGTTGTACTAAGACATTATGAAGCTTCTCTAAATGCAGCAACTCATTCAGCCAAATCCAGTGGTGGAAAAAGTATCCAGATCCTTTGTGTGTACCAATACCACACTATGAAAATACTCCACGGCAAGTAAAAATCCTGCATTCTATGCCACTTTATAGGCTTTTCTCCACTACATTTGTCCGACTGCTTTAGTTACTTTATAGATTACAGTTTTACGTCCCCTTCCTGTTCCGTGAGGACCAATTATTTCTAAAAAGTGAACTTGTTTTCAGCTTTGTGACGATGCATTTTCTAGCTAAAAAAGTAATTTATTTAGCTTAAGAAGTAAGACAATTTGCACATGCAGGAACACTTCACCTTGGGTTTATCACCAATACTCAACATCAAAACATCTGGAGATACGTGGGTTCCACTGGACAGGAAGGGGAAATAAAAGACTATAAAAACTATATAAAGAAGTAACTGAAGTTGTCATAACACGTGCAATATTTACCTCTGAGATGTACTGGAGTAGAAATGTGAAGTAACCTCAAGGAAAGTACAAGTAACTCACATTTGTACTTAAATACTATAGTTCAATAGTAGTTGATTAAAGGTACTTATATCAAAATTTACAAACAGAAAGCTGTATATATTAGACCTTATATAATCCAGACGTTATCATTTTCTGAGAAAGGATTTCTATTCTTTAGTTGCAGGTCTTTCTAAGGCTGGAGATATCCTTTATTTTTAAAGCTGGAGTGACTTTTTAATATAAATGAACATCTCTTACACTCAAGCTGTTGCCAAACGATGTCACATGACGCTGATTCAGCCCATGGCCACTAGGGAAGGGTCTCTGTATTTCGCGGTATACCAGAGTTGTGGTGTTTGTTAACGCGTCCAGTAAAGCCTCAGTAATTTCTTCCGCCACACGGAAAATCTGTTGACGTGGAACTTTGACGAGGAAACGTTTTGGATTTTTTTATACTGATAGTGTGACGCTACTTTGGCCATGCGGACACTCACAACCTCAAGCACGAATCACACTAAAACTTTATTGAATTTTTGAGGACGTACACAACCGATGCTCTAAACAGACACAAGGTACATGAGGCAGCCATCATGCACACTCAGAAGCAAAGATAAAAGCAAGTATATCTCTGGTTTATGCTGGATTTTGACTAAAATAACCAGAAATCTCAATTTTTCCAGCTCTGACTCCCTCACCTTGTTTCCTAAACACACACACTTATTTTCTGTGTTTTTAAAATGGTGTATAAATAAGGCCAACAGCAGCTCTGACCCATTCCAAGACACAACTAATGTACTAAACCAACGTGTCCTCTCACAGTGGTTCGTGTACATTTCCACTCGTGACATGCATCCGCTCTTTTCAAAATAAACAGGAAACAACTCAGTGAGGTTTAGGCAACAAAGATACTTGGTTGTATTGAGGAAAAGATTGTCATTTGGGATAAAATAACTAAGGCTCGCCCTGTGTGTGTTTTTGCGGTCTTTAAACTTCCTCTTTCAAGATCACGTGCATTACAAACAAAATCATTTCATCTACAAATCTTTTTTTGTAGGTATAGCTACGAATGCTTGATGAGAACAGCCTGAATGAACGTATAGAGGAAGTATTGTTTGAGACATGTTTTTAACATCTATACTGGCAAATGAATGCACTCGGACATCAGGATGAATGCGGAGAGATTTATTTCCCACTGTAACCACTTAGCCCCGTATGTTCTGCAGACGTGATGACAGCCGGTATTCTCCTCAATCACAATGTTAACAAGACCCGTCCGATAAAGTCCTCCGACATCGTCATTAGGGGCTGGAGGTGTTATTCACCTAACATTTGTGAGGCCATGCATCACTTATGTCGCCGCCGCAGTCTGTGCGAACCTCACAACGTCGAGTGGCTCCCTCCTCTGCCACCTGCAAATGTCAATTACCATATTTCCCCCTAACATTTATCAGTAATGGCTAACATGAGCTACGTGAAATCAGTGTCATTATGCTGGAGATGGACAGGAGGGGGGGTGCTGACGGCTTATGAAGGCTTGTTTATCAATCAGAGTTGGTTGAGGCTTGAGCACATCTCAATAAAGACCGAACTAGAATACGGTCAAAACAAATGAATTGACTGATTATGCCGTTACTGCAGGTTGCTTTATTTTATATCTATCTTTAAATAACCGAACCAAAGATTGTTGACAAAGGGAGTTGAACTTTCAGTGTGTCACTCCAACCTTCTTCTGTTTTGTTGGGTACCGTTAGGCTGTTTACTGCCACCTCTGCTATTCTGCGGCTGAGACTTTGTCACCACGATTAAACTTAACTTTGGTGTGAAAGGTTTGAAAAGCTGCCATATGCTCCTTCCTCCTGCAGCAGTGCACGAGTGTGCCATTACTGTAACCGTGCAGTCAGTCAGGTAAGGTTTGTGATACAGACGTTACACCATGCCGAGAGGTGAAGTCTGCCGTTAGCTCCGAATACATCTTAGAAACATGAGCGGGATGTGACAGAGGTGCTCTAGCTATACTGCTTTTTGTTCCATGATGGTTCAACAATTAATAAGATTATAAGGACATTAAAGAGGTCAACAACCTTCTTTGTGCTATTGTACACTTTAGATTAGCATTTGTAGGGAAAAATAGATGATAAATGTTTGTTAAAAAACCTAAATGTACCTAATGCTATTTTAACAACTGGATCAAAAGTAGTTTATGCGACTATACACGACTACATCTACTACACTATCTACTACACAATACTAAATATTTTCCTGTATAACAAAGAAAATAATGAATGAAATACTTTTTTAAATTCTGCTTTTAATTTGGAGTAATTTAACATATTTAATCGTTGGTGTTTACATGATGGTTTGTTTTATTGGTATTATTATTATACAATGTTTTACTTACTGTTACTGTTTATTTGCATTGTATGAAAGGTGCTTTACAATAACAAATATTACACTATTTAACAATTTTCTCATAATTAAAGTATGAGTAGAAAGAAAAGGTGGAATCTCTTTATTTTGATTTCTTAAATACCATGAATATCTTTCTAAAAAAAACAATGTTGGTGCAGATATTAGCCGGGTTTTTTCTACTTGGGAGTTGGTCACATTTGACAGTGAAAATGTGACATTATAAATAAATATATATAAAAAGATGATTGTCTCATCAGTCCCGTGGTTACTGACTGAAGTCCGACTCACCACTCCGATGGAGAAGTAGTTGTTTACGATACTGTAAGGCACCGGGTCCCCTCGCTCCTCCTTGTCGGTGGGCGTGACGTCGATCTTCCAGCGATCCAGCATCATCTCTGAACTGTTCTCGATGTCGCGCATTATCTTCAGGAGGCTCTCGCCCTCATAGCCTCGGGACAACAAACCATGAGATGTGTGTTACAATGTGTCGAGAACAACCTTTTACTAAAAGGCTGATGCTTTGAGGTGACTTATGAGTGAGAACTACCTCTGATTTCTTCCAGGTTTATTGATTTTTAGGGCTGATATACAGCTTTTTCTTCTTCTTCTAACCAGAGCAAGGGAAAAAAATGCTGATACTAATAATCACTCAATGTGAATATAAATAACTTTTTATCTTTAACTATTGTAACTATCTAATTTAACTAATTTAGCTCTAAAGATTTTGTCCCTGAATATATTAAAAGTGTGTGTTTGAAAGCAAGAGTTTCATGAGACTTTTCCAAATGTATTTAGAGAACTTAGAGAATTTTAAAAACGTTATATTTTAGTCTAATGAAAACAAATATTGGCTTTAAAATTGTTTCTACTGAACTGCACCCCATATATTTTCAGTCTAGGGGTCACCAGTGGGTCTCAAACCCCTCGTAGTGTAATTTAGCATTAAGTTTAAACAATCAGTAGATGAATCGCTCAGCTGATCGATTACTTTGATAATCAAATCATTGTTTAATAAGTCATTTCTCAAATGTGAAAATCCGTTGCTTTTCTCTGTTTCTTCATATGATCGCAAACTATACCTCTTTCTACTTAAAACAATGTTAATGATGATTGGAATATTTACGCTGGGTTAAAGTATGGTATATTCTTTAACTATGTAATGAGGAGAATTGAGGCCATGTATTTCACTGCAACATTTCTATTATCCGTCAGTACCTCCTCCCCATCGCAGACATCTTGCCAGGTCGTTGCCCGTGCCGAGGGGAAGTATACACACGGGGGGGTTCCTGTCCAGGTTGGCCTTATCTGGAACAGCGGGACAAATATCACAACACCATACGAAACAAGGCCGCACCAAGAAACAAAACTCTAGGCGAATACTTGCAAAGGAAGCATCAAATTCGTTTTGCAGCCCCACTTGTACAACTACAAGTCAATATGAGCGTCCAGTTGTACCGTCTATTTCAAGAGATGGTTATTACCTCTCTTTGTTTTGATTTGATTGATAAAAAATTGAGGCAATTTTTTCGAAGCCAGAACACGTCTTCAAGACCAAATAAAGAAGGCCAGGTGGGTTTTTTTTTTCCTCCCTTCAAATGATGACTTGTATGTTGTTTTCCAACTCACGTAATCATCCCACTTTACCACCCTTGATTACGCAGGCTCGGACGTAATGAAGGTGTTTATATACAAACCATAAAGTACGCTTTACTACCTCAGGCCTGACAACAAGAGCTGCTGCTGGCTGAGAAAAACTAATAACAAATGCAATTTTTGCCCCCCCCCAAAATAGAAATGGAGCGTTTACGTTCCACCTCAGGAGGTCTGAGAGTCTGTAAAGTCAGTAATTTGAAATAATTAATGGCACCAGATTGTTGCTGTTATTTAAATGTACGATATATTCTGTACCTATGAAGTCCAGGATCCAGCCCACGGTGCCGTCCCCCCCGCAGGCCAGCACTCTGAAGTCAGGAACATCTCTGAAGAAGTTCAGCCTGCAAACAAACACTGCACATCACTAACACTACGAGATGTCGTTCACTTTGGATTTCATAGTGTAAATGTGTCATGAAAGATACACATCTACACATACAGTACATGTTCTGTGCTTATTTACAAATCATCAACGCTGTGGGGTAACATCACTGTAACTTTTTATGTTTATCTTTTTATAATGATGAACTTGAACCCACGTTCCCCCCCCCGGTATGCTCGCTCTACTTTCAGTTGGGAAGGTAAGGTTCCCAAAATGGTCCGTTCCACTGCTGATATCAGGTTGAAGGATTTAACACTTTTGTGGACGTGGCTTTACTTCCTCATTGTCTCACACGCACACATGCACACACACATACTGCTGTGTTTGTAAAAATAATAAAGATACTGCAAAATCAGTATTCTTCTGACCTTATTAAGACCTAACATGTAGAAAGACATTAAAGCGATAACTCTCCTGTTTGCCACAAACTGATCTCAAACATTTGATGAAGTCGACAAAATACAGAAATGACCATAAAATCAATATTACACCAAATAAAGATATATTTCATGTTTTATATGTTATGTGGGCTATGCATCAACAGCAGCATCTTCTCAATAAGAAATATGTTTCTCTATACTTGTGTAACCTCATGAGCACAACTCCAATAACAGAAAGGAGGGTAGTGCAGCATCAATGCATCAATGATAATGCAAATAACAAGCAGACATACAGACTGTGTGCAGGATTTAGTGGCATCTAGCAGTTAGGTTGCAGACTGCAACTATCTAAAAAAAACCTCCGCTCACTCCTCCCTTCACAAGCGTGTAGGAGAACTACGGTGGCCTTCAGGTAAAAAGGCAAAAGGCTCTCTCTAGTCAGTGTTTGGTTTGTCCGCTCGGGGCTACTGTAGAAACACGGTGAACTCTTAGCTTGAGGTGATTATTGATTCATGAAAACATAGTATTGAATATTGTTTTACATTTCTGCCAATAATCCTACACACTGCTCCTTTAAAACATATTTGCAGCTGTGGTAATGGTAATGTTTCACTTTCTGGGGACTTCTTAGATTCCTAAAATTTGGAAAAGTCGTAAAGTATCAAGCTGTTAAAACAAATGTAAGTAAGTGGCCCCTGGGACTCTGAAGAGAACATTAGGGTTAAGATTGGTCAATCAGTTGCTCTGATTAGTTAGTTAAAATGACTCCATTAAGTGCTGAAGAAGGCACCTTGTTGCTGAAATGTCCCTCCATGGAATAAATTCTGTGCCTCGTCAACATCCTTCTGTGTGTGTTCCCACTTCCTTTTCAAGTTTGATACTTGTTATGCTCCCTCGTGTCATATTGTTTAACAAGGAATGAGTCATTTCTTTTCTTTCCGGTCAAAGATATGGTATGGTTTGATCGGGTGTTAAAAGAAATGACAATTACTTCAAACATTTCAGCTTTTCTCCCACCGATGAAAGAGAGTGTTGAGTGTTCACATGACAGATCTGTGTGCTATCCTCGAGCCCACTGCGAACCCCCTCTAATCCCACACAACACATGTCGCACTGACAATAACTCATTCGACGAGCTAGCCCGCCTGTTGGAGGGCTAATTGGATCATGACAGGCAATGTTCAGTCCAACTTCTTCCGTTCCTTCACAATAACAAAGCCCTAACTGAATGAGCCAGCCTCCGAGCCTCGTATGGCGGGTAAATGATTCGCTCAATTACTCTCCAACTGGGACCGCAAACCGCATTAGACGCAAAACAGACGGCCGCCAACATGAAAGGCAACTTTGGGGATATTTAAATACCAAGAAACAAAACACTTAATTTGCCGTGATCGCATTAGCGAGGCTGCTAATTGACAGCAGCGTGTGCGGCTGCTATCGGCCTGCAGTGTCCGACGGTGACCGTTCACCTCTCTAATGTCGGCGGCGGTGCGTACACTTGACTAAATATTAACAAGGTTACATCGGGGCGAGGTCATCTGGAATGCTGTCAGCTCTGAGGAGAAGCTCTGGCTTCAGCTCCAGACAGGCGATGTCCCGGGCCACGTGCGGGGACATCGAGGGAACAGAGACAAAACAGTGGCCACAAGGTCAGCCCTCCCAAAAGAAGGAAGAAACAACTTGGGTGCTGCATCGGCGCAATCTGTGGCGAGAGAGCTGCTCCAGCTTCGCGCGCAGACAGTCGGGGGGGGGGGGGGGGGGGGG